TAAAATGAAAACCTTGCGTTCAAATGCAGCTTTTCATTGCATGTCAGAATCAGGAGGGAAGTTCAGAAAGGAAAGGCAGCTTCAACAGACAACAGGCTTCTATCTAGAGAACTATGGACAGGCATGGTGATCCCTAGCTGTTTTCTCTCTGTTCACGTCATGGAACTATTTTTTTTTTTTTCTGTATAAAAGCACGGGGGCAAAATTATTGGGGTCAATGGAAAAAAAAACCAAAACAACCAAATCTCTTTTAAATAAAAATCGTAAAGCAATGAGCATAGTCTCTTTCTAAGTATTTGCTGTGGTGAAGAAAGACAGTTGGAAAGCAAAGCCTCTAAACCCACGGTGCTGAGCCAGCCACAGCCAGGTGGGCAAGGGATGAGATTGCATTACTGCAGGCATTTCTCTAGCTGCTCTGACAGATGACACCCAATATTTGCTCCTCCCCATGCTTCATACCGTGCTGCTCAGCCTCCATGAGAGAGAGGATGCGATGGCAGCCTCACACCTGCCTTGCTGGCATGACTCGTGCTGCCCCTTGCTTGTTTGAGCTGATTTCTGTAGCTCTTCAACCAGCACTGGAGATTTCAGGCATAAAGGATACACAGCTCATGGCTGTGACAAAGTCTTTCTTCTTTGCTCTGTGCTTCCACACAGCTGGAAAGCAGAACTGCTTGCACTTTCCCATCCAGTTCACTGCTGGGAACAGCACTTCCCATGCCTGCAAATTCCAATGTGCTCCTCAGCACCCAGATCTCCCACACCACCATAACTAGCCACAGTCTCACCTCTTGTCCAGTTGACATACTGGACTTGCACACTCTAGCCACCTGAAAATCTCAATTGAAATAAATGCTGTAATTGTTTTCCTCCCCTAGCACCAAGAAAAGTTTTTTTTCAGATGACTAGTTTCAGAACACTGAAAAACTAAAACCCTCCTTGGCTTACTTCATACTTCAGCTCAACAGCCCGTCAACACAGCCCACTGGTTACACCCAACCCCATCACCTTGATGAAAGGATCCTTTCACATGTGCACGAACTCAGGACTTGCTGCACACATCTCACGTGCTGCTGGCAGGCTTTCAAGCTGCACTGTGCTTACTGTTGCTTCAGATTTATCAAAGAAGTACTGTGAACTGGCTCAAGCTTTTGCTCTGTTGTCACTGTGGGAAAGGGCTCTCCAGAGTTGTGCCAGCACTGCTGCCTGCTGGCTCCGAGGGGCTCCCATAGCCCCAAGGCTTCAGGCAGGGCTGCACGGGGCTGACATCTGCACCCTGCTGAGGAGGCGTGATGTGTTTTTCATCAAAAATCACCTGCCTGCCAGGCAAATCACACTAAAAGCCTCTGAATAAATCATAATTGGGAAGTAAATGGAGAGTAACTCTCACACTGCTGCCTCTGATGCTGGGATTCAATAACCACCACAGCATGGGCTAAAGCCCTGCTTTGATTTACCTCCAGAGGAATGTTGTTTTGCTGAATGAAAGCGATGAAATTCAAAGAAAGATTTATCATATTCATTTGTTCTCAAATGCACTGGTGCTGTTTTGCTCTAATTCAGGGTTTGCCTCCAATAATCAATATTTTTGCTAACTCTTCCTGCTGGTGACTGCTAAGATAGCTGTCAGCTTGATTTCAATTATTCCCCATACATTCAGTAACACATAAACAGGTGCAGTTTGCTCAGGAGGTCTGGAAAATGAGAACGCGTCAAAGATGCATTTCCTCCTTCCTTTCAAATTTCCAGGCTTTATCTCCACTAACATTAGAAAATACTAAAATAAATAAAAGCCATTCAGATGTCAAAGGATGGTTTATTTGTTGAGCTACTTAAAAAAAAAATTAAAAAAAAGATTCATCCGCCCTAATTACTGGAAACAGTTCCCTTTAATGCTGCCACCATTTTGAGTAAAACTGCAACATCAAACTGATTAAAAACCCAGAAAACCTAGGCTTACTTCACTCCAATGGGGCTGCATTTGATTTTGAAAGAAAAGTTAGCGTGTTGCACAAAGTTTGTTTCATACTGTATTATATTTCTTTTTTCTCTTTCCCACAAACAGCCACTCTGCCTCTCTCCCTGTTTGTCACAACTCAGGGACTAATTACTAATTGACTAAGCACTGCCGAGCTGAGGAACACCCATAACCTCCAACCAATATCCAGGTCTGAGCCTTGCACTGCCTGTCAGCTGCAGCAGATAGGAGATGCAGGCAGCTGATTTTATCTGCCCATATGGCAGAGGGATGCTTGAGACTCTCTTGCTCATGGTTATATTGAACCTTTTCTGCTTCAAACAGTGACATAGGAACATCTCAACCATAACAATACTCGAAAAAGCAATTGAAACTATTATATCTTTTATGAATCATAGATTTTCCAGCAGGCAAAAGCCTTTGCTTTCTGAGAAAGAAAACCCACAAACTCATTGTTGCCATCCCAACCTACTGAGCACTATTTCTCTTACATGGTTACTCTCCAGCATGAGCTGGAGCACACCTGTACTGCTTCTCCCACACGTGGACCATTGGGTGCATCCCACTGGGGCGATGGCTGATCAAGCACCTGATGCTTTCTCTGGGTTGCAGCCAAGTGGCTCATTTATAACCAGGTTCATTTTGAAAACTGATAGCCACCCCACACCTACTCAGTTCATGGCTCAGCATGGATGGATGGACGGACGGATGGATGGATGTAAGGAAGGGTGGGAAGGAGGGAGGAAGAGAGGAAGAGAGGAAGAGAGGAAGAGAGGAAGAGAGGAAGAGAGGAAGAGAGGAAGAGAGGAAGAGAGGAAGAGAGGAAGAGAGGAAGAGAGGAAGGGAAGGCCAGGCTGTTTCTAAAATGGCAGACAGGACTTGAGGAGAACTTTCTAAAGAAAGCAAATGATCTTAAAGTCCAAAAGGGAAAGCATGAAAAAGGATTTGGGAATGGAATTTGATTAGATCTCAGATGATACTTTTAGTAGTACCTATCTGAAACATTATAGACTTCTCTTCCTTCCTCATTCAGACAGTCAGAATGTTCAGAACTTCTGACAGTAGAACATTAAGAGTATAAGCCCCCAAACCACCAGTCAAAAGGTTCTGAGCAAATTCTACTGTGATCTGGGATTATAACTTGATGTTGTAGAGATGCTCACACATGATATCAAGGTAAAAACTGATGACTAACTATACCTGCATTGGTGAAAAATGCACTCTGTGATCCCAACTGCCTGGGAACCACCCACACCCTGAACGTGGCAGGCATTTACTCTGAGAGCCAGCACGAGTTTGCAGGCATTGGTGATGCACAGCCAATTCTCCAGCTTTCTGTAAGGGACTTTGTTCACAGAATAAGCAAAATTAAAATGCTCCAGGGAGACTGGAGAATTGTTTTGTCATAGTAAATTCCCACAACTTATTTCTCATGTATGGCTCACGTTATTTTTTAACCTGCAAAAACTAGACAGGGCTTTCTCTAGCATTTAACCAACCTCTTTGCAAAACATACATTACAGAAGCTCATATTAGCATTTAAAATAGCCTACCTGAAATCTGAAAGCTTTGATAAAAGAATACAATTTTTTTTTCTGAAAATATTGCACAGGTTGTGGTTTATTTGGGGTTTGCGCTACCAAAGGACTGCACAAAGTGGGAAACCATCAAGGTCTAGCCTCAGAAACATTGCTGCAACTGCAGCTCAAAAATTTTGCCTCCTTTGGGCTAGAAACTAGTACATCAAAAAACCCAAGAACTCCAACCACTGAAAAATAACCTGCTTCACTAGCTACTAAAAAAAAAAAAAAAAAAAAAAGTAAAAAACTGTATTCACACATTTGATACAAAATCTCTCTGGCATTTCTTTGTGTTCTATGTAAATCAACCTTGGGAATTCCCTGATCTTTTCCTGCCAGAAATGCAGACTGATAAAGAATGAACACTGCAGAAATTGGATTCTACCAATAACTATATGGAGTGCAAAAAAATGTTACCTCTTACTGAGTTAACCAGTCCCAGCTACTTCTGATTCCTTGCAGGCACTGCTTCCAGTTGGGATAAAATCAAAGATCATCTGATTTTAGGCCTGTCAGCAATCCTTCACTGTAAAAGACCTGAGTTAATAAAACTGCACTGTGAAATGGTGGAAGCTGGAACTGGGAGAGATTTGCTGGCATCTTGGAGCATACGTGAGACGTCTCTTTCTTTTGAATGAATTCTATCCTTTCAATTTAAAATAATAGTTCAGTTTGAAATTTTGTTTTTTGGATTTCATTGAAAACCACTGTCTAAATCTTTTTGCTGATTAGAACATCCAGGGCCACGCTCTAGAGTCATTCTGTCCAAATGCAAACATCTCTACTGGTGAGAAACCAAACTCCTCTCTTCCAGCAAATCTCACTCTATCAGAAATGCAAAGCAGAGAGATTCTCTGAAGTGACAACATACTTTGGCTTTGGCAGAGAATGTTCTGGGGAAGGTATCAGTAGGACCATGAAATACAGTGAATGCATAACAATGGCGAAAAGTGATGGATGCAGTGTCAGCTATTTAACACAGAAAGGACTTCTCCTACAAACTCTTCCTTTCACAAGCCTTCTTATTCCCACAAGCAATCCTCTTCTTGGCAAGGGGCTACAGGATTAGGATAAAAGAGAATACATAGTCTAATCATTTTTGAGAGATACTGAGCTTTATATATGTACATATATAAAGTTTAGTATCTCTCTCTCTCTCTCTCTCTCTCTATCTCTTCTTGTGGGGAAAAAAAACCAGAACAAACCAAAATGCTCTAAATGTTGTGGTACTGGATGGTGTTGCCAGTCCCAAAGAGCATTAATACATAAAAGCCATGACCCTGCAGACCAGTGGCTTCCCAGAAGGGTCTGTGCATATTAAGACCTTTTTGTTGGGTTTGAAAATGGCTACACTATATAAAAATGCCTTTGTATTTATTTTTAAAAAATTAGCTTTACAAAAAAAAAAAAAAAAAAAAAAAAAAACCAACAAAAAACAACACTTTTCCCTTTTTTTCTTTTTTTTTTTTTCTTTTCTTAAAGATATCATTATCTACAGGAACCCATAAAAATTTTTCCATATTTACATCTAGATAGCTAATCATTGACAAATACAATATTGTGAAATAAAATATTGAAAGTGAATATTCAACCTTTTAAATAGACATTTGGCTCACAGCATAAACAACAGAGAAAAAACAAACAGAACAAAACAAAAAGATCTGCTCTTCTACAGGACTGATCTTATCCTCTCACTTGAAAAAGAAAAGTAAAAAGAAAAAAACCATTAAGTATACTGGTGGGATCAAACACGCTGCTTCTAGGCAGAACACCAGCAACAAACTGCTCCCAGCCAGCACCTTGCACTGAAATCCAAGTTCTCCAAAGGTCCTGTGAGTGGTTGCTGAGACATCCGCAGGACTGGCACCATTCTCCAACCCTTCTCCTAATGCACTGTTTACATTTTATTCTGAGAAGGGGCATGATCTCCACGCTCCCCTTCCTTTGCTCTCAAGAGATGGTGCTTAGCTTCACTCTTATATGGTATATTTGGCCACTGATGTGTGGAGGCATAAGGTCTGGGTGGAAAGATGGCAGTGTTGCCTCTAGTTTCTGCATATGCACACACATTTGCTCTTTTCTGCTTCCTGCTCAAACATATATGCCATTCTTGCAGTCAGAGGCAGACAGAGGGTCGGGGCCTTTCACAGGCAGCGTGCTGCACAATCCCTCGTAACCCTTCTGGATTAAGTGCCCTGGAACATCCCTTTGCCAGCAGTTTGGGAGGTGCTGGAAGAGGAGGAGGAGAAGGAAGATGAGCTGAAGTCACACAGCCAGCATGCAGCCCGATCCTCAGAGGAGGATGGGAATGCAGAGCTTCTCACAAAGGGCTCCTCATGGGCACAGATTCTTAAAATTTAGGCCTCCTGTTCATTGTCGTGTATTCAGATGTGCTACAGCTAGTCTCAAACTCTGCTATATGACATCATATCCACCCACATACATGAGTACTCCCCTCATACATGTATATGTTGGCAGGATACATGTAAAGCTTTGGAACTTTTATCCCTCAGTATTAAGAGCAAAAGCTACTTTACCTCGCTGTTAACTGCAAATGTACTTTAGAAACAGCATTTCTTTAGAAAACTTCCTTCTGTAAATATCACAGTGACCATAATATATCATTAAATGTATTTTGCTGAAGTGCACAGCCAAAAACACTGGCTATATATATATATATATATATATATTTATATAAATCCACTCCCCACCCCCACCCCAAATCTCTTTAAAGAAAGTCTGTAAAAGCCGGTGTAGCAGTGTGAAAGCTTCCTTGAGCACAGGAGTTTAAACAATGTACCTCACCATAAAAAGGAAAGAGAAACAAATTGAACAGCTGTAGGCGCATAATCCCATACTTCTACAGTGTGGTGTCTAAATGCTGTGCTGGCTTGAGAAAGAGTCTGTGCACGAGTCAATCTGTCTTAAAATACTGCTGTAAATATTGTCATTGGTTCGGTTCTACAGTTGTGTTTTCTTCTTCATCTCTCTTGGGCTTCCCCTTCTCCTCCTCCTCTTCCCTGATGGCCTGAATTTGTTCTGAAGATGGGTGCAGTGTGGATTGCTCCGCGCCTTGCTTCTCTGTCCCAGCTAACCTCTCCTCATCCTCAATTACTTTCTTCCACATTTTATGGTTCTGAAGCAGGTGCTGAGTGATCTGACAGTAGATTTTCCTCCTCTTGAACTTCTTCTTTCCTGTAAAATACCATGTGATATTAGTGTACTGATTTCTGTGAGGGAAGAAGAATGGATTGAAGGTGTAGGAAGTAGACGGTGCATGATGACAAACAGGGACTAATAGATTTGTAAAACTGTCAACTTAAACACTCCTAAAAACTCAGACACCTATGTCTCCCCAGACCTCTGGCAAAGAATGCTGATTTCCCACACTGATTGAACCCCAGCCTTCTCCTGCCATAGTCTGCATGCCATCCCTGAGCATTCAGCTCACAGAGACATCTAGTGCCTGAGCACTAGTAATCAATGGGATGGAACATGTTCCTGTGTTGTCTTTTCAAAGACAGAGATTTACTGCAGCATCACTTCAATAGAGATCACCTTAAAGCTTTTGCACAACACTGCTCCAGTGGCAAAGTTTGACCACTGATGAAGTGGTCATACAGCAAAATACTAGTAAGGAGCTTACTTATCACTGGTTTTTGAAACAGTCTCCTCTTGTTAATCTACAGAATGCTTTTGCCACAGTTAGTTCTCAAGAACCCTGACACAACTGCACCACAAGTGTTCTGCTGTCTGAAGTGTTTTCATAGCCTGCCCAACACAATGTACCTCACCACAAAAAGAGAAGTGTCTTTTTTTTCAGTGTCTCTATAGATTGTCCAACACAACACACCTCAAAAATGAAAGAGAAGATTCTTAGCTCAAACTACAAAGCTTGAAAAGTTTTCCTGATCATTAACATTGGCAAGGGTGGTCATAGAACTGAAATAATAACCTCTCCAAAGACAACTGCTGATTTCTTTTTTTCAAGAAAGTGACGTAGAGGAATGTTTTGTACCAAATAAATTTGCGTGGATTAGTACTTGCAGGTTGCCTGAAGTATGCCTGTGTCAGGGTCCAAAACGTTTAGCCCTTGAAGCTTTTGAACTGGAAACAAAGAGCTTTTCACTGAGCACAGACCAAATCCAACTCAATCCTTCATTAGAAAGCCCTTGGTTCCCTGTAGGAAACCTTCAGGTTTAGCACTAATAAGAAGCCCCTGCTCTGCCAATGCCACAGCAGGACATTCTCTCCTTCGTTTCCCGGGTGACCCCGCATGCATCTTGCTGCTCCCTCAGAGATTGTGAGAACTTGCGTGTGGTGCTAAAATTTGCCTGAATAACCAAAGAATGAGTCTGTTTAATTTGCATCCTTGCAATAAAAATTTGGGAAAATTACACGTTCGTGTATAGTTGTAAAAGCCATTTTAAAATAACCCCTACCTTTAGTTTTATAACTCTAAATTTAACTGAACTCCTTCAGGGAATTATCAGGACCTACGCAAAAACTGTATTTCCATCTGCCTAAATGACACCTGCATCAAGAAGAAGATGCTTAACACAACACAACACAACGCTTAATATCTATACACCTTACATCTCATCCTTTTATTTTGTTTCACAGAGAAAAATTTATAACATCCAAAACTGTGTTGATCATGGGAAAAAATTTCCAGTAACTATACTCACACAAAAGATACTGTAGATACGTAATTAACATCCATGCAGTCACAGAAAATGCAGGGAATGAGAGTAAAGCAGATTTTAACATGTATGTATGATCACATTCAGTACGAAGGAAGGAGGAAAAATTTGTTTGGATATTTCAAACCTTTTGATATATTTATTTTTAGGGTTTTGAAAAAGATACAGAGCCTAAAAGCAACAGCATGAATAATAAATATTATCACAGGGTAGAACATGGAAAAGAAAACAGAAGATGACTAAAAAATGGTCTATTTTCAAAGTGATAAGTGTTAATGTTCTGTGCTTTTAACTTAAAAGCAGCATTGTTTAACTTGTAGACATATGAAAGAGAATACAGCAGTGAGGCAAATGGTGACTAAGGATTTAAAAGTAAGGCGAGACCTTTGAATGGATAAGTGAGGAGAACATCCTCAGTCTTCCTTTTTAATATGGTAACATTAGTTCCAGTGCTTTGGGGTCTCTGTTGGTTATCAATCTCACAGCTTTCCCCCAATAATCAATTCCATAAGCCTGAATCTGCCATAGAAATGTGTAGTTCTGCCTTCTATTACCGAGATGATCCTGAAGATCTGATAGATCACAAGGCATTAAAATAAACCAGTGCATGCTTATTTAATACTTGTTGTTCATTTTTGTGCACACTATCCTGCTAAACTTAAAATATATGCGTGTGTGTGTGTGTGTATTAACAAGAACAACATCTGAATCTTACTAGAGAACAAAGGTCACATCAGGAGACCAAGATTTTAATTTTTGGTCCTAATATGGCTTATAGCAACTAGCAATTTTTTTTCACTTCTCAGCTTTCCCAACAGAAAATGGAGATGAGATTCAGTAGGCCAGGGAAGGGTGTAGGGAAGAAGAGAAAACGTGAGATTGTTAGAGAAAAGGCTGCATATCAGTGTTGCAATAGGGCAGTGAAGGCTGATGTTTTCTAGACATGAAATGAGATATAGGGGAGGGAGTGCCAATGTGACTAATTTTGTGATGATTTCAGCAAGGACAGCACTGAATCTCTTGAACTTTGGAGAGGTTCACCTTGAACCTGATCTGTGCTTCTACAATTTGATTGTTTAGTTTTTGATCACTGTATGGAACTTCTGTTGGAAAAAAACAAAAAAAAGAATAGAAAAGAAAAGAAAAAGTGTGAGCAACTTACTGGATTCAGCATTTTCACAAGTTTCCATTTCTGCTGTTTCTTCCTCTTCATGCTCATCGGTGTCTCCTGATTCATCACTATCTTCTATCCATTTTCCTGGCATCAACCCCGCAGAGTCATAGGAGTTACATAGTGGTCCCACAATGTGAGTGATGAAGGATTCCTGGAGGTGTGCCAGCTGAGGAGCAGAGCGATCCATGAAAGGGCTGATAGGCAGGCCCAGGCTAGCCTCTTCATCACCCTGGAGATGAAAAATAGCGGTAATTTCTCTGAAGTGAATGGAAGAAAAAACGTGACACAAAAAGGAGCGCTGCACACCAAGCCAATTAAAAATGATGAAAGAAAAATAGTCCTACCAGAATGCCACTTCCATAGCATGCCAGCCTGACATTATGACAGTACCATTACATCAAATGCTTAATTGAATTACAGCTCTACTCTTGCAAGAGGACTCACTACCAACAGCTTGAATTTAACAAGAATGTTAGTTGATAACTACACAAAACAATGTCCACTACTACTGACCTGCACTTTACACTGAGCGTGAAAGTTGGAAAACCAGTGTTTACTGTCTTTCTTCACATTATTTTCTGGAATGTTTTCTAATTTTGATTCTTAGCTCATTCTCCTTGTAGTCAGTCATCTGTTTGCAGGGGACAAGACTGAACAATCTACCCGGGGCTACAACCCCCAGCCACCTCACTGACCTAGTTTTCTTGTGGATTTTGTCTTTATTACACATATCTTTAAACAAAGAATTCCTTTTGGTTTTTGCTCATAATTGTTTCCTGGGAATACCAGAATGATCTCCATCAAAGCAGGCATTACTCAGAAGCAGTAAATCTTTCCCAGAAAGCTTTTTGCTAGCTTTTCTTGGGAAGAGAGGGCACAGGGGAGGGTAGGTATAGGAAGACTTTTATCTCCATCCTCCTATGACAGAAAAGAAAACTGAACTTTCTTGCAGTACAAAGTCTGCAAGTCACCCCTATAACATAAATGCCTCTGGTAATCTCAGCGACTGTTCAGCTGAGCAGAAATGTCAAGATTAAAAGTAATCTCAGTTAAAAAAAATCCCCCTAACCAATCTTGTTATGCAAATTAATGCATTAATGCAACACAGGTATCTATATTTGAGAGCATAGATTAGAATCTGGACAGACAGTTTCAGTTTTCACGAAGATATGTATGCCTGAGTTTACCTACCGGAAACTCAATATTCCAAAAGCCAAAGACAGACAATGTTACCTGGTCAAAAACTTGTTGGTATCTTGAAAGGTCAACAAATGAAAGTTTAATTTTGAAGCACAGACAAAAGATATCTCACTTCAATGTGTTGTTTTTGTTTTATTGACTTTTATAACAATCTTCACCAAAATGTTATACTTTGTGGACACATCAGAAGCTTCAGTGCCAAATGGCACTGAAAGTCACTGGTCCAGCAAAAGGGTTGGCCAGTTGAACTCTAGGCAATTCCATCAGACCTGTTCTCTGCAGTTTCACTAAGCACCAACACTAGCATACTGCAGGACTGTTTAGCACACAACATGCAACCAGAAGATATTATCTTGGACATGCATTTATTTACCTGTTCATAAAACTCATTGACAATGCCCTCTGTCCACTGTAGATGCAAGTCTTTGCATTTTGCAGGACCATTTATGTCAGCCAGTTTGATACACATTTGGCAAACCAGTAAGCGGTCATTCTCGTTAGTCCAGTCAATCCCAACATCATCATTCACCTAGCAGATAAAGAAAGGAAAAGTATGACAGAAATCCTGGGTAAGAATGCATTCACAAATAAAATTCTGCCCTGGGATATCTTGCTGTTCAGCTACTTAACAAAACCATGATTGCAAGCAGATAAGCTAAGCTGAGGCTGGAATTTACAATGATCTGTACACTGATCTTTTTATAGATGCATCTGTAAAGAGAAAAATAAGTGAAAAATGATGAATGTTGAGATATATTATGACCAACTAATATTTAGCAAATAATGTCTCAGTCTGAAAGCATTACTAGGAAAATAGACAAATACAACCTATCCCTAACATTTTCCAAAAAGTTATTAGCCAGTTAGTGTACAAAAATAAATTACCATCAAATGACATAGTGATTTTCTTACAGCATGAAGATGGGTGTAACAAACCCACTTCCCTATTTGATATATGTTTTTTTGGAATTTGGATTCACTTTTTTATCCTTTTTTACTTTTTCCTATACCTCCCCACAATAAAAAGTGCTATGTACTATCAACTTCTCTAAAGCCAAAGAGTCTCAGAAAGGTTGAGGTTGGAAAGCGCCTCTCAAATGCATCTTATCCACTCCTTTTGCTCACATCTGGGCCAGTCAGAGCAGGCTGCTCAGGACTGTGTCTAGTTGAGTTTTGAGTATCTCCAGCAATCTCTCTGAGTAACTTTTTACCAGTATATGATCCCTCTCACAGGAAGCAAATCCATTCCTGTTCTTAAATGGGATTTCCTGCATTTCACTTTGGGCCGTTGTCACATGTCTCATCACAAGATAACAACAAGCAGAGTCTGGCTCCATCTACTTCACTCTCTCTACCAAGCAGTTATACACATGGCTGCATCCTATCAACTCCCATCGACTTGTGTATGTCAGTTTATTTAACCTGATCCCATTCGCTGAGGATAAGCGTTCATTGCCCCAGACTTTCTGGCAGATCTCAGGGATATGGGATTCCTGAAGCTACATTTTACCTGAAAAGACTGAGGCAAAAAAAAAAAAAAAAAAAAAAGTGAAGACTTCATCCTTTTCCATCTCTGAACAGTCAGCGTTATCAACATTTGCTATTGTTAGTCACATTTTTCCACCTTAGCTTTTTCATCTAGTTTATCTCCTAGTAGGGAGGGATTTATTTTACTATCAATTTTTTAAACTCAAATCCCTCCTTGTAACATAGCTTTAAATTTCAAGCTTGCAATAGTTGAAAATGGATAGAAAGTTGTCCTATGACTAAATGAAACTTAAATGTTTCCAGTCACCAGGTCCCCTGTCCCATACAACAATGGGTTCTCAATGGTGAGGGTTTTGCCATTAATACAGATGATCTAACAAAACTAGTGTCAGAGAGTAACCTCTCCAGTACATTAATATCATGGAAGTGACAGCGAACTTCCTTCATTATTTCGTGTTGCTATTTTCCAGATTGCAAGCTTTTATGGTAGGAGGATGCTTATGTTACATACGTTTACACTGACTTCTACATTCTCTCTGGCTGTGCTCCCAGTACAATGAACTGCAGTTCAGCTACTCAATCAATAACACCATCATTTAGAGCTCAGTTTATCAGAGTAGCAACACCTCCACACAAAGAAACGTGTGAGGTCTGCTGTCTGAGAACACTCTGGTCCAGAAGAGCCTTTTCGAACAAACCACAAATAATCTCTTTTAAGGCAGTGATTACTCAGGGAAAGCTATGGTCGGCCACAAACACTGGTTAGTATTTTAACCTTCTCCTCCACTTTTTATTCCAAGCATGGCCATTTGGATATTCAAACAATCAGGACAAAGAAGGAAGTAAATATCTGTCCTTACAAATCTATAGTGAGTTAGCACAACGTCATACATCAAACTGTTCTCTTATTTACCTTTAGTGTCTCAGGTATCACCATGCTTGGTTACACAGTGATCACGTCTACTGTTGTCCTGATAGATTTAACACAATATAGTTTTCAACGGTCATAATCAATGCTTATTGCTCTGCATTTACTGCTGGTCAAGCTTGTCCTCTTCTACAGTTAAGACAGTTTATATCTCTGTCACGGTTTAGCTTATTTGTTGTATTTTCTTTGCTGTTGTTGGTTTCTGTTTGGTTTGTTTTCATTCTTTGCTTACGTTCATAGAAATGAATTATTTTGTCCAAACTGTCAAAACCAAAAATCCAGACAGCCTAAATTCACTGTGCTTTATTGTCATTGTAGCCCTGACTGACGAGAATCTGCTGGAAAGCTCAATACTTAAAGACAAAATTAGTCAGGTGAAAATGGCCAAGGGATTTAAAATACAAAGAGAATCCCCTCTAATACCACCAGGGGCATCTGGAATATGAGGAACAGAAGTGCAGAGGGAGTTAAGATGTTTATGGATCTCCAAATTAGTTCTCTCTCTACCCTGAACCACAGTTTAAGGCCTTTTTTACACCTTCTTGGAGCCTAACAAAGAGAAATATTAGAGGATAATGAAAAACAAAACCAGTCACACATTTGCCGGCTTCTAACTTTCAGGGTACAGCCCCAGCCTAAGCAATACCGCAAGAAAACATTATAGGTATGTCACTAAATCAGCTAGGAGGTCCTAAATGGGAACAGGAAACACACTGTGCTTGGTTTTATTCAAGGAATGAGAAGGCAATACCAGTTCCCAAGCAAATATTATTTAGGTAATGTACTTACAGTTTGCATGAGCAATGGAGTTTATTAAAGTAACCTGACAAGTGACTATTTCCAATAAACTGAAACTAGATTGAAACTATACAATAATTTTTAAGATATATTCCCAGAGTTGTGATTTTATATTCCCTGAACAGAGTGTAAAGGAAAGATCTCAGTGATCTCAGAGGTATACCTGTTAGGAATAAAGTAAGAGAGAAGGATCATCCTTTCATTGCATTCAAATTAGAATTTCAAAATCACTATGATTTCTGTGTTTTGCTAACAGAACAGTATGATTAAATAGATAAAAAGTCACATTAAGTATTCAGATACTATGGAAACTTGGTAATACCTCTGATTATTTTCCCTGAGTGCTAATAACACTTAAAATGTTAGTGAACAGGCGAACAATGCTGGAAAGTGGGATGTAAGTGGGATTTTCATGAAATTGTCCCATATTGCATAATATCCTCAACAGGGTAAACTAGCCTTTCATAATGTCCTTCTGTATGTTATCAACAGAGCCTACCTTAAACCAACTTTGGGAAAAACAAAAACAAACAAAACAAAACAACAACAACAACAAAATACCAACCAACCAACAACAAGAAGGAAGCTATGGCACTAAATTGAAATAATTTTAAAATGACAATAGAAGTGCTAGATTAATATTCATCAGAATGCTTTACAGTAGCTGATAACGGTGATAACACTGAAAGGAAATTCAGAAGAAAAAGCAACACAGAAAGCTTTTGAGTCATTTCACTGTGATGCTAACAAGCCCCAGAAACTTTTCTGACCAGCCACCAGAAATCCAAATGGATCTTGTTACCTTGGCATTGAATTTGGCAACAAAATCAAAGTGTTTCTTCAGGTCAGTAGCCAAAATTGCCTCGATGACAAGGAAGCGGAAATGCTTGAACTCCACATGGTCGAGGTTGACCAAGAAGTTGTATTCTGGCCTCGACATGAAAAGGTTCCAAGCAGCAGCAGCATGATGGTTCTCCAGGACGGAGCGGTCATTGTACAGCACTGCCTGTGAAAGCAATATGGGAAACAGCTCAGCACAAAAAACATTGTGATTCCAGAAATCAGTATGATGTGGGTGGAACGAATGAGGGATGTTCAGGTTTGGTTGATCTTAATTTTGTAAAGAATATCCCGGGTTTTCATAATACGATTTTTGCAGAATTAGAATCAGACAGCTTATCTGCTGTGATAGCTAAAATCTATTTTAAAATCTGGATTTTTCATGCTTAAGAGTCTTTGGTTCCATACTAAACCACATCACCTGACAGTGAATATCTAATATGCTTTTTCATTCGTTTTTAACACATATAAGCTTTATCAATATTATCACATTGCACTTCCCTGTTTTCCAGAGCCAGTCTACTAGCCAGAGTCAGTCTACTAGCAGAGATTACTGTCTCCTGTGTTCGTATCTGACAGTTTTGTCAATACTACTTACTTCAAATTCTGAAGAAAAAAAAAAAGGAAGAAACTTCAATTTGAAACTCAACATTGCACAACACTCCAAAACTGGTTAAATATTTAAAAGCCAAGATGCATATATCCCATTCTGATAGCAATTTCACTCAGAAATGAAATTGAAAAAGGATGTAGAAAGCAGACTTCATAGGACAACAACAATCTAGGAAGTCTCTTCACTTCAGCAGCATTCAGTCTCTTGACTATTTCCTTTATGGAAATATGTTTCTGTGTAAAGTTTTCTACTTTACAGAAATATAAAAACTTCCAGTGTTAAAGCTTTCTTCATTACTTTTCACTTAAATTATATTTTGCTATCTAGAAGTAAAATATTCTACCTTATCCTGAAGAACAGAATCTATTATTTCTCACAGAGATTGGTTTGCTGAAGCAATGTAGGTTTACAGTCTATCTTGCCTAACTACACAGTAATAATTTAATGTACATATATTTTGCTGCCAAGACCCCACTCCTCAAGGCATATTTTTTGTCCAGCAGCACTTCAGCTTTACTGAAAGCTCATACAGGTTGTGGTGAAATACAGATAATATTTATAAACTATATGTACATATATATGTAAGAAACAGATTCTGAATACAAGTGCCCAAAATTTCATGTGATACTAGATTAAAACCAAACAAAATAAAACAACAAAACAACAAAAGAACACAAAACCCAAGAAGGTTCTGAACTTTGTCCATTAATTTCTTCTCAAACTATAGGCAATACACCAAAGCTAATTATCTAACTTTTTTGACTTTTAAAATGAGTTCAGTAATAGTGTGTTTCCCATCAGGCTATTTATCCAGCAAGAGCTTTATCCAGAGTTATTGATGACAAATACATGTTGCAAAGATGAGGAGCATTACTATAAGTTTATAGACAGAAACTGGCACAAAGCATGGCTAGATGATTTGCCCTTGGTGAAAAAGAAGTCTGGATCCAAGTTAGTGAGTAGATACAGAACTTCTGCATCCCTACCCAACTTTGCACCATCACACCACCTTTCTTTGTTTCTGCACAGAATTATCTTTCAGCACAGTATGCTGAAGCCAAGCAGGTCAGCTATGTAAAGTAAATAAAGATGATCTCATAATTAAGCCAATAAACAGCGACTCAGAATTGCTGAATTTCACTGCCAGCACTGGCAGCAATTTCCATATAACCTTAGGTAAGTCTCAATTACTAATCTGTAAAACTAAGATGATCTTTTTCCCTGATAGAGGCAGAGAGTAAAGATACATTCATAAAAGATCGCAGCTGTTCATATACTGCAGGAGCAATAGGAAATATTTGTTATGATTGTGCAGAAACTTAGTGTGGTGCACATGGCAACTACACAGGTGGTGGTTTATTTTTGTTTGTTTTGTTTTACTGGCTTTTTTTTTTTGTTTGTTTCTTTTTATCTTTCTGTGCCTCATTGTGCAGAATAATATTTCCTTTATTTCCTAGTTACAAATTGTGTCAGTCTTCTCCTTCACCATGACATCTTATCTTCACCTTTCTTAACAGTACCAGTAGTAGAATGTGGTGAGGGTGTGTAAAGCGACTTACTGGCAATCCCCAAGGTAAGTGTTCATTTTTGTCACTTTGATAAGCTACTTCGATATTTGGTAGAATTGTGCTTAATGCAAGCTGCAGGCACCAGTGACAACTGAAATCTGTCACATTCTGAACTTAACAGTGATGTCTTAATTACCTGAGGAGCACTTGTTGCCACCAAAAAGGCATTAGTCCTTCCTGGATGATCGTAATCATGCATGGCTGCGGCTACGTAAAGAGCCATCAACTCAAGAGCTGGGATGTTGCCAGCTAGGCATCCGTAGCTGTCATCTGTAGGTGTGTATGTCTTCGAAAACACATAACCCATATGGCCGTGAGTGATTCCACTGTCAGAATCTGAATATATACAGAAATAAATACATTTAGAAAATTCCTGACCATTTTTTTTTTTCTTCAGAGACTTACTGAAACATATGGGAACAGCAAAGCAGAAGGAGTGGAGAATTCACAGTAGCTAACTGAAGAATAAACGTGTTCTGACCTGAATGCTTTCCGATGTGTACCTGACCTGGTGCTATAAGGCAAGCAATTGAAAAGGTACAATTTCAGATCCCCCCAGGGATGTTCCTCCAGCAGAGGCTGCTCTCAAACTACAAAAAGTACAGACAGTAGTACAGACATGCTGGAGCTTTGTGGGTAACTCAATCTTTGCAACACCTTTACCTAATTGCTTCACCATAAAGATTAGTCTATGAAATACTGTCTGTTCTTAAAGTAGTAGAATAGCATTTATGAATTCAGTAGGTGTAGATGCATGTTTTCCAATCCAAGGTCTAGACTTTTATTTCTTTGCTGCTAATCCTCTTACCAGCCTCTTTTAGAAACAGCTTGAATGTGTCCCTGTCAGTAGCAGATTTTGAGTGAGATGCATTGAATGAATTCCTATACAGCTGAAAAGCACTGAACTGCAGGGTGACCTCACTGCAGCCTTCCAGTACCTAAAGGGAGGCTACAAACAGGAGGAGAGTCAAATCTTTGAAAGGGTAAGTAACAGCAGGACAAGGGGAAATGGTTTTAAGTCGAAGGAGGGAAGATTCAGGTTGGATGTCAGGAGGAAGTTCTTTATAGAGAGAGTGGTGAGGTGCTGGAACAGGCTGCCCTGAGAGGCTGTGGGTGTCCCATCCCTGGAGGTGTTCAAGGCCAGATTGGATGGGACCCTGGGCAGCCTGGTCTAGTATTAGATATGCAGGTTGGTGACCCTGCCTGCAGAGGGGGGGGTGTTGGAGCTTGATGATCCTTGATGTCCCTTCCAACCCAAGGCATTCTATGATTCTGTGATTATATTTCAAATAACAAACACCAAAATCCCCAAACTTCAATCCCTTTCATTCGACCCATTTCCCCTGATCTGGATGATGGAAGCTGTTATGATACCCCCCTGCTGGTATGATAACTAACAAAATTTTCCAGGAATAGCAACCCTTTCCACCACCAAAACATCCTGAAGAAATTCACAAATGGTATGTGTGTGCCACAAAAACACCAGCAAAAACGTTGAAGTAGAAATGTTTCCTGTGGAACAAACTCCTGCTTTAACAGCAAATCCCTCAGAAGGCCCACAAAATACAGACAGGCCCCCTAGTTGCTATACCTCAAGCTGGAGAAGTTAATACAAAGGTGCAAGAAGAAAATATGCTTGTAAGTAGCAATCATAAGACAGCAGATGAATGGTCTTGCAAGGTAGTTGCAAGTCTCTTTCTTTGGGGACAGTGAGAAATGGCAAAGGGACACTTCACAACCACCAAGAAGCAACAGTGCATGCCTTCACTTGTGTTTTCCTGTGCCTTCATAATAGCAAAATAATGCAGGGTTTGAAGACTCAAAGGTCTACACCTCTTGTAAGAGCAATAGAAAGCACTGCTAATACAGTTTATTTGAAGAAAACCTATTGTAAAATTCAAATGGTAATAAACGCCTGTTATTAAGGGCAACCACTAAGGTTTGCATTCACACACTGAATATGAAATATTAGGTTTTGGAAGACCAATTCCATTCTCTTCTAAGTTACACAAACATACATTCAGCATCCAATGTGCTACTCTTTATAACAAGTACTGCACTCACTCCTCAGCTGTTGGCTTTCGTCCAGCAAATTTTGTCAAAAGTTTTAAAAATACAACATAAATACTTGTATATTTAAATATACCTGAATCACTCGCTGACCCGTGATCATTAATCACAGTTGGGAGTCCCGGAATGGGCTGAGTAGTAAGGTACCACACGGCATGCAGAACATCAGTTGCGTGGATTCGATTGTGATCTGTGATACAAAACAAATGACCTCACTATTAAACATGAATATTTCTGACAGAGGGAAATCAGCACCATCTAGTGGGTACTGCATGGCAGTCAATTGAGCCAGAGACAAATCCAATGTTATCACAACCATGAAAAACAGCTGTATTTTGTAAACGCTCAGCTTTTCTTTTACCATAGATGAAGCAAATTTAATTCTGAGTCTTCGTATCAGTCCAGAAAGAGAAAAATAGCAGCAGAGCATTTTGCAGAAACTGCAAAGAAAGTATTAAACAATGAGCCTTCTAGCTCTATTCCTCACCCCAGTGGCTGCCTTTTGCTAGTTAAATGCCACTGAGTTGAATATTCACTGTTAACCTCTGATTCCAATGAAATCAGTTGAAAGCTCATCCTCTTCAGTAGCCAGATTTCAACCTACTTGCAAATGGTAGCTCCACAAAATCAAGCTCAGGATATGTGCATGTTGCACAGTTAAACCAGGTTCTTTCTGTGTTTTGCTGACCAGAGATTAAGAGCTCAGGCCCCAGCTCCTCTGGCTTGCTACAAGTTCTCTTTGAAGAAATGAGAGATAATTCACTACAAAGGTTTTCCTACAAATCCTTCAAGACCACATGAACAATCCTATTATCAACACAAGTAACTGAAAAAAGAATTGCATGCTAGTTCACCATAGAGCACCATGAAAATATACACTGACAAGAGCAAACATGATGCTTGAAGAGGAGTAATACTGCTGCACCACAACCATAGCTTACATCTGGGGTAGAATCACTGAAAGACAAGTATTTCAACTTGCAATTTAGGCTAATTTGAGGCAGTATAATTATTAGATAATACTCTTAGAAATCTGCTTTTCCGAATTACGATCTGCACTTTGGCCACAACAATCCCATGCAGCTCTATAGGCTTGGGGACAAGTGGCTGGATGACTGTGAAGAGGAAAGGGTGTTGGTTGTGAAGGTTGGAAAGGGTGTTGAAGAGCAAAGAGGTGTTGGTTGATGCTCAGCTGAACATCAGCTGACAGCGTGCCCAGGTGGCCAAAAGGGCCAACGGCATCCTGGCCTCCATTAGAAATGGTGTGGCCAGCAGGAGAGGGAGATGATCATCCCCCTCTACTCAGCACTGGTGAGGCCACACCTCGAGTACTGTGTTCAGTTTTGTGTCCTTCTTTACAAAAAGATATTGAGGCCCTGGAATGTGTCCAGAGAAGAGCAATGAAACTGGTGAGGGATCTGGAGCATAAGTCTTATGAGGAACAGCTGAGGGAGCTGGGATTGTTAAGTCTGGAGAAGAGAATGCTCAGGATAGACCTCATTGCACTCTTCAACTTCCTGAAGGGAGGCTGTGATGAGGAGGGATTTGGTCTCTTCTGCCAGGCAATGAACAGAACCTGAGGAAATAGTTACAAGTTGTACCAGAGGAAGGTTAGATTAGACATGAAGAAGAACTTTTTCTCTCAGAGAGTGGTCAGGTACTGGAATGGCTGCCAGGGAGGTGGTAGAATTGCCGTCTCTGGCAGTGTTCAAGAGGCATCTGGATGAGGAACTACGAGATATGGGTTAGAGGCTTGTGGTAGCAATGGCAATGGGAGGACTAGATGATCTTGCAGGTCGTTTCCAACCTTGAAATTCTATCACTCTATAAAGTCAGCCTAGAATTCTACCTGCCAAGGGCAGATGGATGTAATACACTAACGTTTATTATATTTACAGTTTGCAGTCATTTTGCTCACTAAATGTGGGCATAATGTCATGCCACTTGACTGTAGTATTTACCCCTAACTTTCATCTCTTGCTCTCCTGTGATCCTTCCCTTTAAATATTTGTTAGGGATCATGAGCTACAATTCTTTAATTATTTTTGTAACAACAAAACAGTAAGCAGCATAGGAATGGATATATTTTGGAAATAAAAAAAGAAAATAAGGAAGAGATCTCCTTCCTGTCTTTCTTGAAGAACTAATATCCTCATGCAAAATTGAGTTCTGCACAGGGTCCTAAAGCTTTTCTATAGGATAAAGGCTGGATGAACATCTTGTGAAACCTGTACTAATTTAATCCAACTGGAACAGTCATTTTTCAGTTCAAAAACCAGACAAAAAGACTTGTTTAATCAAAGCAAGTTGTTTTGTTTTCTACTCCTTCACAGAAATGAAAAGTTGGAAGGTAAATTAGTTATGTATTAGAAAAAATATTTGGCTGTAACATGAAATACACATAAGAAAAGCCACATAAATGGAAGGCTAGATTCACAAAAATTCCTGAGCCCCTGTGAGTAGAGAAGTGTTGAAAGTTGTTGAAAACAAAGAGGAAAGATTGCCGGACATTCATATACAAGGCCTCAGGTTATAAGCTGCTGTTTATAATCCCTCTCAGATTCAAACACAAAGAAAGATTTGAAATTTGTTGTCCCACTTTCCCAACAGAGAGTCCAAACCAGCTGGATGGAGGGCATTCTGACACAGCTTGCTTTCAGTTCCTCACTGTTTAGCTGTTCCAATTTATATTTAATATTTTAAGAGTGAGACTACATAAGTTACACCAATTTTTCAGACATTTTTTTGGGAGGTGGGAGTAAATAGGGTGTCCTATATTTCTCAGCACAGGGTTTATTTGCCAGTTAACAGGGCGGTAACTCCCTCTCTTCTCCAGAGAGAAAAATAGTCTTTCACGGTTGAAGTGTTCTTTAAGTTAGATTTGAATTAGCAAATACTTTGGGGATGACTGAAAGCAGGTTTTTCAGTGAATAAATGATTCACACTGAAAAATACTAGCCTAGGTGTAGTCAAAGAAGAGCAGGACGCACCCAACTACTTCGTCTACCTTTTCTGCTTTACAAAGCATGTCTATTTTGATAACATTGCACTATTTCTGTAAATAGTAAAAAATCCAAATCTCCCACGGAGGGAATGTTTCAGTGAACTCCAGCTAGGACAGGGGTACGCTTGCATCATCAGAAAACATGTCATCAGAAAACTGTTCTTTGTATATATGGTAGTTCCATGTGGTTGCAAGCTTGCAAAAATATTTCCCATAAATTATTTTTAAACAACATGAAACAGTAAATGCAATGAAAGAGGATGAGTGAGGTTATGGAATAAAACCAGCCTCTGACTAAATAGCCATCTATTTGTCAGTGATGGAGCAGAAGTCAGGAAAAATATTCCTCTCTTAGTAATCAAGAAAACATGAATGATTTCATGCATACAGTACGGTCAGCTATTGCTATTTAGCTTTTCAAACACCCTTTTCTATTATTTATTTATGTTAGACTGGGGCTGCTGTATGGGGCTGCTGAATCATGGCCTGAATCTCTGATTAATCACCTGAGGCAAGCAATGAGTCAGCCATGGGAGTGCAGGTGAAGGCAATTCACCTGTGCTGCAGGAAGGGGTGGAGCCTGGCTCCACCTCTCCTAGACCCATTTAAGAGCTGACTACCAGTGGGGAAGGAACTCTTCTGGAGATCTACTTCACTGGAGTTTCCTATGCAAGCCCAGGATAGGGTGAATGTCCTTTTCTGCTCTAGTATACCAATTATATAAGCCAAGCTCTCAATATACTATATCATCTGTATATTCATTGATTGTATATAGACACTGCACAACTGTCTTCTGAAACAATGCACATGGAGAGTGTGTGATCTCCTTCATCATATAAGAAGGTTAATAAAAAAGGACATCTTCTTAAAAAAAAGAAGTACCTGTTGTACTAAGAGGAAAAAATGCTTCAATAACTAAGTGTATGGAAAATACCCAAAGCTTTAAGGAAGCGCTATTATCTGCTGGGAATGTTTACTTACAAGGTATCTCTCGGTATCCACATTCCAAGGCATGGAAGTAGTTCATAAATTCCCTCACTGGAATTTTAAAGGTTTCAAACAACCCCATGTCTTCAAAAAGCCGGTATGATACCTGGGGGAAAAAAAAAAAAAAAGAAACGGCATTCTGTTAAGTTGCCCAGAAAGAATCTAAAAATTACATATAAAAACCATTCTGCCCAATCATCCCACAAAATTCTGCTTTCTTGGTAATATTTTATCAAGCACGTAATCTGATCCATCTATAGCAGCAGCTATTTGCATTTCTGTAGCACAGACAAACAGACAACTTATCACTACCAAATTGTTCTTGTTCCTTCAATACATCCTTCCAGATGATCTTCTCTTCCTTTCAGGCACATGGATCTCCCACAGTCTGCAAGCACTTCAGAAGCATACACACAGGCAGATAGCCAGAGCTCCTTAGTGTCTTGGGAAAATTTCCCCACAAACTTCCTCAAGAAGCATTCGTGAGTCAATTCATTTCCCAGAAAAAGAGGGAGTAAGTGAAAGAATGAGAAACAGGACATAATGATTTGGATTCTCAGCATCATCTCCTTCCTTTACTTCCCATTTTGTCAATAAAATGGGAAAAATGACTTTACGATTTCAGTGGCAGCAAGCAGCTTAGAGTTGCTGTAGACATCCAAGAGAAGATAAATCAAAAAGAAGAATGTGATGACTGAGTGAGGGGGTGTTTAGGGGAGATGCAAGTTCAGAAATGCAGACAGGAGCAACTACAAAATGGACAAAATGCACAATACACTTGAACTTAGAAAATAATGGTACATTTTAAAATTACTGTATCACTTCTTCACTTCTTTCACAGATCAGACCCTGAAGTCTTTCAGCTTCTTTATTTATCTACTGCTGTTAGCTAAATATTGTCCCTTTCATGCCATTTATCAAGTAATGGTCTGTCTAGAGCTAAACAACTTAAGACAAATTTGAAAGGATGAGTGCTATACTAATAAGAAATTATTACAAATTCTGCTCTGAGTTTCACACCCTAATGTAAAATGGCTATCCACAGCTATTTTCTACTGTACACCACATACATAATCTGTGACCTGTGAGAAGTTCCTTCCACAAGTTTAAGGAATGGATCTTCCCCCTCTACTCTGTGCTGGTGAGGCCACATCTGGAATACTGTGCCCAGTTCTGGGCTCCTCAGTTCAGAAAAGAGGGATCTCCTAGAAAAAATCCTGCAAAGGGCCACAAAGATGATTAGGGACCTGCAGCATCTCCCAGATGAGGAAAGGCTAAGAGACCTGGGATGCTTCAATCTGGAGAAGAAAGGGCTGAGAGAGGATCTCATCACTGTTTATACGTATCTAAAGTGCAAAAGTCAAGTTGATGGGGGCAGACATTCTGGAGGTGAGCAACAATGGGACAAGGGGCAATGGGCACACACTGGAACACAGGAAGTTCCATACAAACACAAGGAAGAACTCCTTTATTTTGAGGGGGACAGCACTGGGACAGGCTGCCCATAGAGGCTGTGATGTCACCCTCTCTAGAGATATTCAACACCCATCAACACACCGTTCTGTGTCACCTGCAGTAGGGAACATGCTTTACCAGGGGGTTGGACTTGATGATGTCTATAGGTCCCTTCCAACCCATACGATTCTGTGATTTCCAATGTTCTGTATTTAAATAGATGCAGTCTACAAAGGAGGGAGACCTCCCAGGTGAAAACCAGTAGTGTCATTTCACAGAAGGAAAAGAAAATGTGAGGCTGTAAAAGGCAAAACTGGGATCTTGCTCTACTGAGACAGAACAAAGAGGCTGTCTTTATGTGTAATTTGGATTAGAAGGCACATAGAATCCTGCTAGTCTATCTGGAATGGTGGTTGAAGTGAATTAGTCCTGATTCAACCTTTCTCATACATAGAAATAATGTATTTCACACACCAGTCTTAGATCACTGAATGATGAGCTCCATGTTTTGTGCTAAATGTCTCTGTCCTCAGAGGGGAAGGATAAAGAAATATTAACCTGCAAGACCAAACTTTACAGTGCTAATCCACCAACACTGAACAGGAACCTTAAGTAAAACATGTAATAAAAGCATGGTTTTTTCCCCTCCCCTTGGATTTTCTGGGGAGAACTCTGCAGCTGGTGAGAAAATAAGCAGGTTGTGATGGATATGAATGGTAGCTCTTTCCTGTGACCTACGAGTGAAATGGCATTATTTTCTCTGGTCATCAGAGAAACAGCCAAGCAAGTCATTCAGACATGTTTAGACCCACAGCTGTGGTGCAGCCCCCACAGCCTATGGGACACAAGTCTTGAAGAAGCTGTTACAACGTCCAGCCACTTCATATTGTCTGCTCTCACAGCCTCCTCCCTTCTGCCTCCATCTTCTGTTTGTCTCTGCTACAGCTGCTAATGCTTGGGTGAATCATTTATAACACAGCTACCCTTCATGCTGCTGCCTGAACAGGAACAAGTGCTTCTCCCTTATGATTTCTAATGGAAGCTTTTTTAGAAGTGGGGATTGTCATTCATGCATACCTCCTCTCCTGGGTGTAAGGGGCATACATTGAAGTCTCAGAGGACTTGTGCAAGGTTTAGGTTAGCATTTCCCTACTCCCCCCTATCCTTGCTGCAGTTTTTCTCTTCAGAAGTCACGCATGATTATGAGATGTCCGAATATTCCTCTTTGCACCATCCAATCACTGCAATGATAGCACTCTATCTCAATGCTGCTGATGTACTAAAATTGCAGGAGTACCACCAATGATTTGTATTTCTCGGAGCTTTGCAATAAAAGCTGGAGAGAGACCTTGACTTTAGCCTATCCTTTAACACATCCTTTATTTGCTTTCCAAAGAACATGAGTTTCTCTTCTGCAGATCTTTATTTATGTAGGAGTTGTAAGAACTGTGACTGAAAGCATTATATAATTTTATGGCCTGTTGTGAAGCACCATCTCAGTTGGAAGCTTTGCTGTTCCTTTCTGAAATTAGATTGGTATGCAAATTCCTCCCTAACCCTATTATGCATATTGGTTAGTGCCATGTTTAGGGTGCTTTCCACTGTATTTTGCATAGATGCCTCTATGGCCACCAACTGGTTCAGGGTCTTTTTATATATCTAAATAAATTTAACATTACTAAAAGAAGAAACAGACATCCCAAGCAGCTTTAAAGTCACTATGCCAGCATTTGCTTTCTAAACTGAATGCCTCCCTAGAGGCACATGTCAACTCCACTTTGTTCCATCTCATAAATTTAACCTAGCAAGACAAACATAGTTAATTCAGCTTGTTAATTTACTTATTTTTTAATGGATGAGTCTACTTAATGGCAAAAAGCAGAGAATAAATCATTAGAGCTTTTGTTTTCCTTTGTTGATACTATTCAGCATTTTGAAATGATACAAGAAAAAGACAATTTATCTGCAGAAAACAAATTGCTTATTTTGGATCTCTTACTTCTGAAAATAATTTTGTTAGGAACATCTTAGTAGGTGGAGGAAAGAACAATAGAAATTATCTTTATTTTAAGGACAAGGTTGAACTTGCTACATTTTGCTCTAAGACAGTGGGAGTTGTTGTGAACAGCTGCTACAGAAGATGGTAAATTTTCACAAATATTACTTATTTATGCTTCTATATTACATTTCATAGGCCTCGTTTTGTGACACTGCAACAGTGAGAATGTACACAGAACAATATGTTCAAGAAGAAAATGTTCACAAACAGAGTGTGGAGTCTTAATGAAAAGCCTGGGCAGCAGAAGGAAATTGTCCTGAGAGGTACAGAATTCCATGCAACTTGGTAAAGTGTCTAAGACCTACACAAGTAGCCAGACAAAGCTAGAATAAACTTCTGTTCATTCAAACTTGATCATTCAAAGTGCTAGTTATGACACTAGAAATGTTTCTATTTTTCTTTATGTTTCATTCCTGAGTCTGTAAGATGCTCTGCTGCTAAACAAAATCATGACAAAGAACATGTAGAAGAGAATGTTAATCACGTGCCTCCTGCGTATCGCACGGCTGTCTCGATCAATGGTGAATATATACCAATGCCCATATCCAGCCACAGTTTGCCTGTTTCTCCAAAACTAACCTAGAGAGTTGGTAGGCTGGGTAGGTATATATGGTACTTGAAAAATACAGAATGATAAAAGGCAGCCCATGCTCTCAGATATGACCGACTGGCCGCTCTGCTTGTGTGTGGGTGTTAATTTTCCCACATACCAATAAACAAATACTTCTTTCCAGTGCTCATTGCTACATAATACCTTGTAAAGTAATACGATATCAGTCTCCTGTGTTGTTTTTTTTTTTTTTTTCTCCTCACCATCCTAAATATAATTACTTGATTTTCCATTTAATAAACTTTAATACCTCAATTAGAGAAAAAAATGTCAATATGCTAGGAAAAGGGAAACCACAGAGCAGAGTTCAGCCAAGAAACTGATTATGGAATTGATACCAACTGTGCTGAATACAGAAGGGCTGTGTCAGTATCTGCATTCAACATAGAGAAGGGAATGAAAAATCAACATCTGAAAAGAAAGAGCAGAAGGCTCTCACATCCCCATTCATAGAGAACTAGTTTTACAGAATAATGATCTTAATTTACTACCAAAATATTCACTCTTTAAAGGTGAGGAAATATAGCAAAGACTATTTTTTTCCCCACTTCTTGAAACCTTACTTTCTTGCACTGCCTAATTTTATTGAAGTCTCCAATATAGAAAAGGATTTCCTGCATTAAACTGAGTATTTTTACTGTTTAGCTCTCCCACAGTGGACCCCATAAGAAATCCTTTCACAAAATACTTGGTAAGGGATGAAAGCAGGTCCTGCAGAAAGGTAAGGATGTTCAAAAGGGTTTATGTGAACTTGTTTGTGAACAGAAGCAGAGAGAATAGGTGTCTAGCTTTTTTTTTTCTTTCACATTATTAAACTAAAAGTGATGAGAATTTAAAAGTAAGAAATTTATTGACAAGGAATTCATATTGTCAGCTCTAGTTTACGTATCAGAGATCATCATTTATAGGATAATCAGCTTATGGGTCTTAGCACTATGTCAAATAAATCTCAATAATCTAGCGAGTCATCACAGATGAGATGTCATTCTTACCTGACTGAGAATCCGACCACATTTCTTTCCAATTTTTTCTACCAAATCGAAGATTGGGAAGTTCCAGCTGTTAAGCTGCTCCATTAGAGGATCCAAGTTGTCCATAACCAGAGGCTCAGGAGCAAGTACAGGCTTGTCCTATGCCAGAAAATAGAATGAAATAAATTTCAGTTCTGTGAAGCAACTCATGCAAAAAATTTATGTTCTGAAAAACTAAGGTCATGTTAGAATCATTTCTAAGCCAATGGTGTTTTATTCAGCTCAGCAGAGCTGTCCTCATTTCTACCAGCCCTGCAGCTAGACACTCTTTTATAATTTGTTTCGCTCACATGGATAGGAAATTCTGTATTATGAAACATCAGTCTCTGAACTTATCCATGACAGACATTCATTCATTCATTCATTCATGGGAACCATTCATTCATTTCCAACTGAGTTTTCTTCATTGTAAAATTTGCTGCAGTGCAGAGGGGAAAATGTTCAGTTTCTCCTTCTGCATCAGGACACATCCATTACAGTCTATCCTGGTTAATGGAGCATGTTGTTAGGGAAGACTTATCAAATCGAGACCACCACTTTCCAGGCCTGCAAACAAAAGATGGGGTACTCCCCTACTATCACATTTCTCCTGAACACTTCCTTGTATTTCTTTATTTCTATGAAACTGTAAATGAGTAAGTATCTCAGGAAAAATGCCTGCTTTCAGCATGTCCAACTCTGATTCAACAGATTAGAATGATTTTTTCAAGAGGTCAAGCCAAGTTAAATTTGTTAATCCAGTTGTACAGCAGATTGTAAAAAAAAATAACTGAACCTCTGAATCAAATTCACAGCTGAATACAGCAGTTGTGAGAAGATCAACACTTGTCAGTGTTCTTACATTCAAGACATCTGATGATGATGATATCATGCGGGAACCTCAAGAAAGTGTTTACTTATTTTAAATGAAGGCTCACTATATATTATCAAGATTGCAAGGCCATTGAGAAGCTGAAGTGGCTGAGCAGGAAGACAGTACATCATGCTGGTAGTCTGAGATGGTCATTTCTTTTCCTTTCAATCTATTCCCTTTAAAGGCAACACTAACACAGAAGCCAAATGCTTCACAAGTGCCAAATGCCAGATCCATAAGCTTATACTAATTCATCAAAATATATGGTTAGCGCCTCACAGGTGGTCAGTGCTTAGAAGCTACTAAAAGATATGAGCCTAATTATTTTTTTTTTGCTTTAAATCATGGACTAAATCTTTTGCTGCCCTAGAGGGTTATTTATTTTTTCTTCTTTCTTCTTTTTGTGAGATTCTGCATACATTCAGCCAGTATTGACAACAGAATTTAAACAAGCTACCTCAGGTGGTATCAAAGGATGCAGAATGATGGTCTCAGGTGCATACGTCCTACAGACAGATCCCTTCCGTGCCTTTTCTTTGGAGCAATCTGCCTCATCATCATTTTGTACAATATCACTGCTGTCACTGTTGTTGGTCTCATAGTCAGAAGTGGCTTGCGCAGGATCATCTAGAAAACAAGCAACAAAGCTGGTTGTATGAACAGCAAGGACTGCAGGAATGTCATCCCGTGACCTTCTGAATATTAACAGGATCTCTGACTCATAATACATCTGTGCTGCTTGGCTGGGTCTAAGATTGAACAAGCTGTCCAAAGGTATTAAAGCATATATCCTGCAGAGTGTAAAAAATTGGAACAGAGACTGAAAACCGGGAAAAATTTTGATGGCCATTATTTGTGCTGGCTAGCTTAGATTAAACGGTATGGAAACCATATTTATTTTTGCAATGTATCTATATTCTTCATGAGACTTTTCCATTTGTGAGTTGTTTGTGTACTCACAGCCAATACTCACAAAGCAAGAAAGGAAAGAAGCCTCAAAGGCAGTTTGTATGGTCTCACCTTCATATGTTTTCTTTCTGTGAGACTGAGGCATATCTGCCCTTTCACTGAACAACTATTACATTTTAAAGGATGAGAAGCTTTTGTTCAACAAAGAATTACCTGTTCTATTTAGGGTGTGGGTGGTACCATCGCTCCTATCTAGTGTACCATCACCAGCTTCTATTTGGTTGTAGGGTCTGCCGCAGCTGAAACAACATCAAGGAACATACACAATATAAAGACCACGTGCATTGGATAGTCTTATGGAAAAAGAATTCCTGCTGGCAATAAATGATTAAGTCATATATTGCAAGCTATGGCATCGACTGTATTCTAAAGACAAAATTATAAGAGTGAGCTGAAGTTTTACTGGAAGACAGAAATGGAAAAAGACAGGTTTATACCTTATATTATCCGACCAATGCAATTAATTTGTGTTGCCTACAGTTAAACTGTACGACACCTTTTAAATTTATAAGTTTACCAGTACAAAACACACAAACAAACAAAAATTTGTACTATTTGTACTACAGCTGCACTATGAGCATGGATTAAAGAAAAGAGTGAAAATTTGCCAGAATGCCATACAATGCTATATAATTGCATTTCAACATCATCACGTTGTTTCTCTGTAATAATGCAGAAAGTTACTTTGCCATTACTGCAGTGACAACAAACCAACTATAGCAGAACAAAGTGGGAGTGTGGGATAGAATACAAGGTGACTGATTTGGCATTCAGACATTTAGCAAAAAAAAAAAAACAACACAAAAGAATTTGCTTAATCGCTGCCAGAACAGACTCTGTGGGAAGGACTGTAATAGTAAGGCTTTTCCAAATGCCTGGCTCTTTATTTCCACTAAAATGCTTTATTCTTTTTGTGTGATCTCCTTTCAGCAGGAGTACAGTGCTAGCTGGAACATCTCAGGTAACGATGTTCCATTCTTCCTGATGGAAGAATGTTTAGAAGCATTATAAAAAATTTTCCCATGTTGACATTTTAACATGTTTCTCTAGCTTTACTTCATATTTTGTGGTACAAACAGTCTTTGCAAAGAGAAAATTAAAAAAAGTATTTAAATTGGTAAATCTTCAGACTAGAAACTTTACATCATTGTAAGAGCACCATACAAAAATGGCTGAAATCCTATTTGTCAGGGTCATCAAAAACATATTCTGGAATTTGGTACATCCTGCAATCATGAAGATCGGAAAGAATTTAAAATAAAACTACAAATCCATGTTATGATATGCATGGCACAATTTCCATAAGGTCAGTGATAACAAGCCAAAATGTAAATAAGAACAGAGCCTCTGACTGGTTGTGTCACAAGGCTTTAGTGTTATTATGAATGCACCTTTTTGCTTTCAGATCAACATACAAGTTCATACTTATTTAGTATGTGTAGCCCAAACAAAACACTTTAAACCAATCCCCTTTACATGTAGGGATTATAATATAGTTCTTAATCACAGCATTTTTGAACATTATTTCACTGGATACCTGCCTTACCCACTATACAAAATTGAGAGACATGACTTAAACATTATTTTAACAGCATTGCCTAGTACATGCTCATGTTTAATAACACCTTCACACTCGGTTGTCCTATCATATGTCACTTTGTGTGAAAGCAAAACTGCTGATGGGATCAGATCCATCGCCTGAACGGATCTGATTCAAAGCACAGAATCCATTGAGAGTTTATTACCTCTGTGGTTGTTGTTGAGGGAGGGAGTTGATTTGTCGGTTGCAAAGGCTTGCTGAGTTGGTATTACTTTGCGGCAAGGCAGGTTTTTTGCAGTAAATATAGAACACCACGTACCACGAATACAGCAGTCTACACTGTGAAAGCTCAAACATGGTGCCTGCTGGCTAGCCAATACTCACAAACAACTTACTACTAAATTAAAAGTAACAACTAAAAGGTAAGATCAATTTGAAACTGTACTGGAGCCAGCTTCTAAACACCAGTGTTTACAGCTATTCTGAGCTGGACATATATTGAAAGCTCCAGTAGCCTAATTTGACAAATCTAATAATGAGACGCCTTAAAGTGCAAAATTAAACCATTACTGTAACTCATGGCAGTAAGAGGAACTCAGCAGCAGGTGAGTTCTGAAAAAAATCCCAATGCCACATAATCTGACTCTACTTAGGGAAGACAAGTTCCACTCCTGAGCCAGTCCTCCAAATTCCTTATTCTTCAGGCACTGCTGGAACACTTCTATCAGACAGTAGGCAGAGGGTTATAGGCCAGCAGATTTTAAACTCTAGCAGTTATATTTTTGTATCTAACCTCAGGTGCCTGTTTTGAAAGACTTGGCCTATGACCTCAAAGTGGTTGCTCATGTTGGCAGCATGGCATGAGAAACTCAAGCTATTAGCACGAAATCCAACTTTCAGGTCTGAAAGCTACTGATGAAGCATTCGTTCATGAAGCAGACATGTAAAAGTGGTATGTAGCTAACAGTCTTTCACTATAAAATCACTTTGTAGCAGCAACCTATACAATTACACACTGAGAACTGCTTAAATATGTTAAAATATCAATACTGTAGCAGATTACAAGAACTTGTACATGCATCTAAAGTTTGTGAGACAATGTCAAATGATCCAACATATGTCAAACTACCATCTTACCTGCTGCAGATGACAGAGGGGCTGATGTTAGGTTCTGACAGGCTAGGTGCACTCTGAGTAGCAGTTAAGACTTTGTGTGGTTTTAAACCTTGCTTGGTGTCAGTATCTGTAGAGTCTGGAAATGACACAGAAGATGTCTTTCCGGTAGGACTTGTAGCAGGCGTCCCTTGAAGAGGTGAATGGCATGGAGAGGTGAGTGGTGAAATATTTGGTGGGATACCTGGCAAGAGAAGAGTCTTGTCAATTAACAGTAGCAATAGATGGTCAAGTTCACTGAGTGCACAAATAGTGCTCTTTTAATACATAAGCAGAAGCATAGCTTCCAAAATGAAAAATAGAGAAAAAACGCTCCTCTATTCTCAGCCAAGCTGATGGCTGTCACAGAATGATGAAGCTCCATTACTATCAGCTGCTTCCACCAGCAGAAGATTGTGCTCAAAGCATTCTCCCTACTGGGTAGGATAAATAAAGTAGAAGTCATGAAATGAAAAGCATGCATTGGGAACGTCACTACTGGTATCAGTATGTTCCAGTAACAGAAGCACCAAACTCCAACAAGCCAGTCCCCAGACTTATCTACAGATTCTCCTCACTTTACTGTCTTCATCTGTACAGAAGGGACAAGAATGGCTAACCCACATTCTCAGCAAATTTGGATTTCTACATGTGAGATTATTAGCAATATATAAAGAATAATAATTAAAAAAGCAATTCTTAGTAATTACACATTATGTTAATACAAAATATTATACTTATGGTGCCATTTCTGCATTCCTTCCTGATTCTGGCCTCTTTTGATGCACTTTGAACTTATTTTCATTTATGTCTTCCTCACAATGGAAAACTCATAACCTTTACCTGTAACACATGGTATTGTACTGCTGATCTAGAATCTAGTAATATTCACATGTGCAAACATTAGCATTGTTCTTCCTGTCTTCAATTCTATCTCAGCACCACTCCAAAATGAAATGCATCAGTGAACCCAGTGCGTGATATAAATTGCTGCTGTTTCTTCAAATCCAACTTACATTTTCTAGTCTCAGACAAAATGGTTCCATTACAATAAAGCATAGGGGTGCAAAAAGCATCTCTCTTTAATGGAAATGCTTTTAAGTAGGCATATCTCATGAACTCAGTTCTAAAGTCTGTAGGAACTCAACCTCAGCTCATCTACCATGTTCATCTCCAGCGTTGAATAATGTAAACTGGGAGCTTTAACTGGTTTCATGCTTGAATTGTGCCTGCTATCTAAATGCATTCCAGGCACAATTAACTTAGAATGAGGCCATATATTGGCTTAAGTTGGCAGGATATATGTCTATAGTTCCAATGCTTTCTCCTGATAGCTTAATGAGACGTGAGGTTAAAATATGATTTCTGTTGCCCATCGATGAGTAATAAATAATCTTTGACAGTTGCTAAACTGTAATTTTGAGATATTCAACATCATCTAAGTTTCTGATTACAAATTTCCTCGGAAAACAAGATTCATTTTGCTGTCTTAATTCAGTGATTTCCACGAAGAAAATACACTAGTTTTGAGATCAGAAAGCTACAGCCTATGGAGCAGTTAAAAAGTTATCCAATGGTCATGACATGGAAATTTAATTAAATTACAGAAATTTTATTTCTGTATACATAAAGTTCTGTAATAATAATCTGTAAATAAAGCTCTGTTTCACAGCTACTGAGATCTGCTTTCTATCTGACAAAAACATGTTTTAAAAACACTTCTAAGCCTTCTAGTCGAACAAGAGATTAAGTTGGATTTTTAACTATATTTGAGGTATAAGCTATCAGGTAACTTTTATGACTGCCACAGAATGCAACATATGTATCTTTCAACAGCTTAATGCAAGTTTCAGAATTTATACACTGACTTTCACAACAATATTTCTAATCACAGCCAGCTCTCTTTTGCTAGTATGGACTCCTGTCATTTGAACATTTTCCTACCAGGGTAAGTAAAACAAAGAAACAAAAATAAGCTATTTAGAATAATCTGACATTTAAGAATTTCTTGCCAAAAGTGAGAGAAAACATGTCTTGCTATCAGAAGTAACCTTGAACAATCAAAGTAAGAGAAGATGATGAATGACGTATTTTTTTTTAAAGTGTATCCATCTGCAGAAATTTTTAACATTCAGAGTTGAAAAAATAAAACAGTAACTTTGATACAACGTAAAATTATACTTGAGAATTTTGCCAAAACACATATAGCTTGCAGTACTTTAAAATGCTATGCTTCCAAGCATAAATTAAGACACATTTTGTTAATTAATAGGTTTACAAATTTATCTAGAGCAACTCCTAGCAAGAATTGTTACGTACTGCCAATGGAACCATCTTAAGCCACTGATTATTTTTTAAATAAAGTAAATGGATATATTCATACTCATGGAAAAATAACAAAATATACAGATTGGGCAGAGAATAAAAGCAGCTGCATGTTCTAGTCACCGAGTTCCCAAGAAGCTGAGCGAATCCAACAAGACCATGGGTGACCACTCACCTTGGCGGCTCTGCCTTTTGGCATTCAGGTGGTTGGTAGGAGACATGGCATAAGACGTAGAGAAGGACCTGCTCTTTGTGATTGTCATCAGAAGGGAACTGTTCCAAGAGTCAGTGCTGTGAAATGAGAAGGCAAACAAGCCTTTTTCAACACAGTAAAACCTACATGGAAAATCTGAAGATATCAGAAGACAGAGCAAGAACTTTCTGGTACTGAGAAGGCACAAAATCTCTGATGAGGAAAATAGCATCTATCTGCTAGCTGGATTACTATTTGTGAGGAATATTATTTTCAGAAAAAATATTTACGATGTAGGCAGTCCTGGAATTCCGTCTGTCCTCATGCCTATTCACTTCACTTACACAAAGATCAGCTAAAAAGACACTTCAAAATTGGCTTGAAATATGTTAAATTTATGTGGTCTTTTAATACCACTTTACAACAACCAGAAGTGCCAGAAATTCTCAGTGTAAGTGAAAAATCAGTCTCCTTGATATCCCCTTGATTCTGATGCAACCATGAAGACAGATATCTATTAATCTTTTGGGCAATAGAAGAGACTTCAGGAGACCAGAAGAGGCTTAGCAGAGCATTGCATTGCTGCTGGTGGTGGTGTGCCTCTTCCCTGGGTGGAGCACTTTGTGCTCTACATATCTAGTGCTACATCTCAGATATAAATCCTACTGACAGATCCTGAGAACATTGCTTACTGATCCATGTTAAATTCTCTAAAGGAAAAAAGGATGTGTATTTTGTGGGAGTGGCAAAGTGACAATGATGAAATGTTTGTCTCTCACATGAGAAAGTGGGAATTGGGAAAATTGGGAATAGGTGAACGGTTGGACTGGGTGATCTTTTAGGTCTTTTCCAACCTTGGTGATTCTATGATTCTATGATTCTATGAAAGGAGACATGCTTTCAGTCATTATTAGTTTACCAGAAGACGCCAAATAGTTTTGTAAAGTAGCAATACTATATTTATCACTTTTTCTCCTGAAGGCCAGTCATCAAAAGTCAGCTTCTTGCAGTGAGGCAGCACTCGGCTTTTATTATGAGGACAAAGACTTCTCTGAACTGATCCACTAGGTCTCTCAAGCTCCACACTCCTCCTCAAAGCCTCACGTCCACATCCTTCTTCCCACGCCAGTTGATGAGAGGACATACAAGGCAGAAGACAGCCTTTTAAAGCAGCCTAGTCTTAGCCAAACTTGGGAGGGTGCGGGGGGGGAAAGAAGCGAAAACGTGTCTTAATTCCACTAATACTTTACTGTGATGAATAAGCAAGCACTGCCTTGTTAACATCTGCTGGCTGTCTTCGTTGCCTCAAATTTCTATAATACGTAATGATGTAGAAAGATAGAAACCAGCTCTTTTTTGTTATTGTTGTTGTCATCTTTTGTGGTTGGTTGGTTGTGTTTTTTTTGTTGTTTTTTTGTTTGTTTGGTTGGTTTGGTTTGGAGTAGTGGAGGGTTGTCAGTTGGCAGAAAGAATATAAAGCACTGGTTCACCATAAAGAAAAACAAAACCAACAAAACAGGCAAAGAAATAAACCACCACAACTGTATTATTTGACTTCTTAAGGAAGATTCACCGGACAGAGATGTGACTGAAAGCAGGAATAGGGAAGTTTTTTTTTCCCAAATCATTTAAAGCTAAAAGATGACTATGACTTACTATTTTTGTGACAAAGACATATAAGACTCCTAGTCTTAAACAGAGATTTAAGGGGGATTTTTGCAAATCTGTGACTATGGAAATCTAGCGTATAGGGAACAAGATGAACAGTTTCTTATTGCAGAAACTACCACAGACCAACTCCATTGTCACACCTTCTTTTCTCCAATTCATGAAACAATCCCTTTTTTATGACCTGTAGTGTGGTTGATTTTGGTACAGGGGAAGTCGCAGATAATCAGGATTTTTTTTCCCCTTCAGTTCAACATTATTTTCCTTGAGAGTAAATCTGTATTGCTCTGCCAACATTTTTAAAGCTGGACTTACTTATGGGCTTCATTTTTCCCCTTTCTGGAATATGCATTCTTTCTCCTACTGTAAAAGAACTGCAAACAGTAGGCTGGAAGGCTTGACAGAGCTATAATTACACAATTGGCGACATTAAATGCAAAAAGAATTGATAGCCTGCACAGTTGGCTCATCAAGCACAGTTATATAACAACTGTAGAAAAGGACCAACAATAATATTTAATTTCTTTCCTTCTCCCTTGTATTCCCATCTTAGGATGCTTAAATAGTGCGTGAGAATTTGGGATCAACAGTATAAATCAAATGCACCCTGCAAACCACAGACTGATGACTGGAATAATATTTCCATTTGATTATAGCTTCTTTGTATTTACTTTTACTGAGATACATGGGACTCCTTATAAAGGGAAGTTTGGCTAGCCATGTATTTTTCTTGCACAAGACATTCAGTGTACTCTGCAAGCTGCCTTGAGCACCTAGGCTCCCTGTATGATAGAGAGGCTGATGAAAGTAGTGCTCTGGGGTTATATTCAACCAAATTATCCATCTGAGGATGCTGGGCCTTCTCAGGTCCTATCTTCTCCACTATTACCAACAGATTTTTAAATGCAGAAGAAACACTCAACTTTTCTGAAACCTTTACTTTGCTGGAATAAACAGTTTGGTTTTTGTTGCTGTTGTTGTTTTCATTTTGCTTTCTGGTAATAGTAATAGTTACAGCATGATCTGACTAAAACTGGGAATGACACTTCCTTGGTAACCTGACTTATTGAGATGTGTAGAAATTGTTCAAACATAGTTTGGAGTTATAAGTTTTAAATGATGCACATCACCACACAGAACCAAAGAAATGTTGTCAAAGATGGGCATTAAAGAGAGATGAAGTAGTATGTAACCTGGATGAAGATGATTCGTGAGGTTTGATGCTGGCACTGCGATCTCTTCTCACTGGGGCTGGCTCCAGTGTGGGTAAACCTGTGGCAGATGTTGTTGTGGTCCAAGTGGAGGACACTCGTCTCAGCAGTCCTGGAGGCAAACTTCTTCGTAAGCGCTAGAGAAAAATCACTTGCTTAGAGTCTATATAGGTTTATAAGCTTCTGAAAACTTTAAACGTGCAGAAGAAAAACATTTTATAGCATTTGATTAATATACCTGGCAGTATCTGGTAAGGTACCTTTGTTCTGGATTCATCCAAATAATATGGTGTCTGTCTTCCATTGAATTCAGCAAAGGCTGGTGCTCTAAGTGCTTGGAAGATACAGGATTTCCTCCCTATTTTAAGTTCAAGGAAAGCTATATATTCACAACTCCATAGCCATTAGTGTCCAATACTTGGAGTTCAATGGAGACAGAGAACATTAATGGTGTTCTTTGGAAACGTTAATCTTATATGATGCGGCCAAAAGCACTTAAACAAGTCATCAGGGCTACAAAAATGATTGAGGGATTGGAGTATACTTGCCATAAAACAACAGGCTGAGAGAACCATGATTGTTCAGTCTGGAGAAGTCTCAAAGGGAGATCCTATCAACGTGAATAAATATGTGAATGCAAGAAGAGGGAGGATGATGGATCTGCTTTTTGATCCAGTGACAAGAGACAGCGGGCACTAATGGAAATACAGGAAATTCCATTCAAATGTAAAATAAACAAACAAACAAATAAATACAGTGAGGGTGATCAAATACTGAAAATGGTTCCCAGAGAAGTTGTAGAGTCTACAAGTATGGAGATCTTCAAGACTCAACTTCAAGCTTCTGAAAAAGCTTCTGAAAAGCTTTGAGAGAGCATCATCCTTTACATAAGATTTTTCTTGACCACCCTGCATTTGTCTTTCACCTGACTCTTCCTTTTCTCTAATACGATATGGTTTATTTTTCCAAAGTTTTGGAATGCAGTCACTGATAATAAGAAATGATGACAGAGAGCCTTTGTACCATGGTTTTGTAAAATGTTTCTCTTGTAATTATATTGTAGTTTTTATAATTGAGAACTAAAATAAAAATGTCTCTGTGAGAGGGTTGAGAAAGTTAAGATGAAAGATACTCTTAGGTATGAAGCTCAAGCACACAGATAAATATGTTAGCAAGTTAATTTCTTACCCCAAATACTCTGTGTCAGATGCTTAAGGTAACGACTCTAAATCCATATTTAGACACATAAATAAATGACTGCAAACTATTAATTATATGAACCATAATGCATTCAGGTCAGTGATTTCTTCAGTCAAATTACTCCTCTGTAATATTAACTTATTTCTTCATCCTGCCTTTCTCTGCTCCTCACTAGGTACTATGCAACTATGAACTGTAATCGGTTCATTGTGTCTGCTCATGTGATGGCAGTGTTCTTCCACATAATCTTTCCTCCAGAATATAGTCACTGCACTCATATGCACTAAACTTAACTAGAACTTGTGTTTCAAGACCTGCAAACACCCATCCCATATATGTAGCTGTTACACTGGCAAGCAGGGTAATAATTATCATAATACTAAAATAAATTAAAAAGAATCACAAGTGTTGCAGTTCAGATGCCAGAAAATTCTAGAATGAATGCTGGCTGTGTCATTTCAACTGTTGAAAGTTAAAAGCATTCACTAGGCAATATACGCTGTCTATATTTAATTTTACAAGTGAGATTGCATGGCAAAAGTATTTTGGTTTGGCTTTGAAAGTGAAATGCAGACCTTGCAGGACAGCTCATCAGCAATGAGCATACAATTCATACTTTTTCAAAGCTGATCTGTTCTTTCTAGCTGCTAACTTCCCAAACATCGACAGTTAACAATGATTATATCCCTGTTGAATTCCCAAGCATTCATAAAGCCATCTGTCAAGGCAGTAATATATTCTTCTGGTCACCCCACATGCAGTGTCAAAAATCTTTGGAGTGGGAGGGTGAACTCTTTGTGAGAACTAATGAGTCAGACTTGTGAGTCTGGATATTGAAAGGCTTTTGCTTGCCCTGTTCCTGATCATTTCTTCTCTCTTAAGCTCCAACGAGCACCCACAAGGAAACATGAACATCATCTGTGTGAATTTTTTGTGTCCAATATCATCTTTTAAAGGTGCCTGAACAAAAGTTTAGCTGGCCATGAGTTGTAGGATATGCAGGGGTGGTTTTACTATGAAATAAGTAGTCTATTTAATTTTCTTCTTATGGAAAACTATGATTAATACATAAAATGGTAACCTGAATCGAACAAGGAAAAGCCCAAAGAGATCTGCCACTAGCACAGCGCTGTCCCTTAAAGGAGAGCCAAGTCATAAGATGACAGATGGAGTTACTGTCCAATACTCACCTTGGGAATTGCTAGTTTTTCTCCTTTCTCTGGACATTCCTCCGAGTCAGAGCATGTGTAATTCTCACTGAAGGATACCAAAGGGTTCACCCTTGGCTTGTGGATGGCCTGGAAGGTTAACTGTGTATTAAGCAGGTTGCTCACTGTTCTCAGCGAAGTACACACGTTGGGAGGCAGTGAAGGATCTGCCAGAAGATCTGTAATGAGCCCATGTGCTTCTCCCATGACTGCAATATCCACTGTGATACTGGTACCAGAAGACTGAAGAAGACAAAAATAGCACAGGTAAGAGAACAGAAGTTTGCAACCACCTGGAGCAGTATCTCCAATGATGAACTTTCTCAGCAACTTCTGTTAAAGCAGTTATCAACAGAATGGAAAAATAGTAACATGAAATAATTATTTAAGTAAGGAGAATCATGCTGAGTAGATTGAGCATCAGGCATAATGCTCAGAGTATGCAAAAAGTTCAGAACTTTATTGTATCTAATTTCCTGGCTTTTGGCATCTGCAGTTTACTTAATCCATTTGAATGAATTGTTCAGCCTTCCCTACGCAGACACAGTCAATGGCTAGGGGTTATTTGCACAAATAAATTTCATTGCATAACTTAGGATGGGAAGAGTCCCTCTTGCAAGATGCCTTTCTTCTGTCCACAGAGGGATCTAGGACAACTAATTTATGTTCAGTACTTATGCTTAGATGAAAGGATCAAATCCCAAGTATATACTGAAATTTAAAAAATATCACCATGATGTTAAAATACAGCATTCTGGTGCAGTGGTAAAAACTTCCAATTTCAAGTAACTCTACAGCTAAACAAACAAACAAAAACAAAAACAAAAAAAAGAGAAAAAAGTGGATTTCTCAATGCTTATTTTATTCAAAAAGATGCGATGAGAATGATTACAGTTTTGCATGACCAGTTCAAGCAGTCCTTTCTTTCCCTTAGGTTTGAAATGTATCTCTATTTTACAATTTACAATTCTTTAAAAAGAATTGTTAACTGAAGTGATGCATAAGCAGAAATAACACCAAAAAGCAGTCTGTATCACTGGCAAATCCTGTACACCTTTCTCAGTATATGTAGATACTGTTCTGTGTATTGTGCATTTCAGAATAACTGTGGCCTAGGCAAATCCCCTTTGTACACAGTCAGGTGCACAGGGAATCTAACACAGCTGGAGCACTGGGCTTCCAGTGTATGCACAAGAGGATTGATCTGTGAATGTGTTTTTGAACTTCCTCAGGATTTCCCAACATTCAGTGGCTCTGATTACCATCTGTCCTGAAACCCAAGAGAGCAATATATTGCTGCTAAAAGAAACAATCTACTACCAAAAGCACAATATGTCTCATATCTGTGAAATGACAACTATATGATACAATTGCGAAAGACTGAGGTTCTTTTGAGTGTGCTGGGAGAGAGACTGGATGTGTGCAGAAGCAGAACAGAAATGCAGCAGGCACATCTTTTGTCAGTTCTGAACTATGAATACAGCAGTGACATTTCAGCCACAATTATTGGTGCACTGTCATCATAAATTCTAAGTGGAATTGCTGATTCAAGACACTCCAAGACTGAACATTTCTTCCTTTGCCATTCTTCTGAAATATAAACTCAATCCTACTGTTTTGGACTTTCAGTAGGTGTATAAGCAGTTTGCCTGAGACATAACTCCAGAAGATTCTGTACTTTTTTTTTTTTTTTTTTTTTTTTTGTATATTTTAGTGAAATCTAAATTCCAAAAGAGGAAGTAATGTCTGTGAAAAGAGCATATGGGTTTCCTGGAGCGTCAGGTACGCAGCATGGAGAACTGGGCAGACTGCTTAGCAGGAGAGCCAGGAATGACTCACCAGTGACATCATTTAAACTTCAAAATACACCAAAGAACAGCAAAACAGAGCTTGACACTGCTTCACTCTCACAAAGGGCTTTACAAGTACCTGAAGAAAGTGCTATTTTAGCTAAGTAGAGCTCAGCATCTCCTTTCCGCTTTCCCAATGGCACAGCGTGGGCATCAGGTCCCAGCAATAGCTGTTTCCCTCCACTGCTCCTCTCCTCACATCCTACGACTTGCTCATACAAAGCCAAGCCACAGGATCAGAAGATGGCACTCCATGCTCATCACACTGTCATGATCAGCCTCTTTTCCCCACACTTCTGGTTTATTTCATCTGGTATCACGACAAAGAAAGTATTTGATACACTGCGTGCTATTTCATCTTACTGGAAAAAAAAAAAAAAAATTGCTGAAGTTTATTTAGTGGCTGTCTTCATTGCTTAACCTCTCGGTGTTCCAAACTGAAGATTTGGGCCAATGCTAAAAAAAATTCTTAAATTAAAAGACAAGGCTTTGGATGGGAGGAATTAATTATCTATCTTTGCCTCTGCCATGGAAAACAGACCAAAGCGGAGTGAGGGAGAATATTTAATTCAAAGCACGATAGAAGCCTCATACTTTCAGCAAAACTGCATAATCTACAGTTTGAAATTCTATTAAGCCTGGAGCCTAGAGTTGTTGACTGCCGATTAGAGACAGAGATTAATACTTCAACAAAATAAACAAGTCTGACTCAGCAGGCCATAAGCAGGCGCCCAGATTTTGTACAGCAGTACTAATATTTTGCAAAGCAGCCAGCATTGTTCTCCGTGATTAGCACCAAGCGGAGTGAGGGAGAGCTCTTCTCAATGGTGTATCTCTACCATACGGCCTCTGATACGCATGGAGGCTGTCAGTCTGGGGTCTATCATATTCCTGCCCGACTGTAGGGCAGGACTTCACTGAGTTCTTTGAGAGTCTGGTCCCTCAAATGCATCACTCTGGATCTCATCCTGCCCCTCAACTGTGTCAGCACCTAACAGGTCATGTCTGGCCCACATCTCCACAGCCTACATCCCCATCAGGAGGAGAATGGGAAATGTAAGTGATTTCCTCTTTGCAAGTTTGCACTTGACACCACTAGATACAGTATGGGTAATACCACCTCACGTGGAAACCTCTGAGCTCTTCCTACAGCATTGTGATAGTACCTTCTTGTATTTTTGGCACCTGCAGATTAGACGCTTTCAATTGGTACCTCACATGAAGGTTACGTGGCTTTCCACCCAGCTCAATTTCAGAATGAATTCTTATTATCAAATACTCTGACTTGATAAAATTACAGATACTTGAACTATTATTTTCTCAAAGCAGTTTGAATGAATGCATGAAACATTTTAACATGCTGGATTTAAAATAAAACAGTAAATAGATGACTGCAAGTGATTTTTAAACCCTTATTCAGAACGTAAACTGAGTTTCCTTAAAGGACAGGGAAACCTTGAATTTTTTTTACAAAATATACATAGTGACATATGTTTTAGGTAAGACAATAAACTGATGAAAATTTTAGATTGGTGTCATAGGATATATGCATACACACATGCACATATATATACACACTCTTTTTTCAGAGTAAAAGTGCTTACAAAATTCATGCTTAGATCTATTATGTACTTTTCTACTTTCTGCATAGCCTCTGCATGAACTGATCTGGATTCTGCCCAAACCACTTTACTCATCTAAACCCGAAGGCTGGATACTTGGGAACAGAGGCATGAATAACATGTTTGCAATCAACATAAACAAACAACTCTCTAACTTGATAATAATAAATAAACAAGACAAGCAAAAAAACAAAAAAACAAAAAAACAACCAACAACCACAACCAAGAAACACATCAAACCAAAAGGACAGCAGAAACCAGCTAATCTAAGGTGAATTTTAATTTTGCACCGGTCCATATTCATATACCTGTCTATGCTAACAATTGTGAATGCAGTTTCCTCCCATGAGTTTTGAACAAGCCTGGCTTACTGCTCATTTGTGACTTACACCTATTGCTGATTTAAGCAATGTCACGTGGCGGCTAAAACCAAAGCCTATTAGGGCATGAGAACAAGAAACTGAACAGACTATAAAGGAGGTAGACTGACTTTTTACAGAAGCAGATATTGATAAGACATGGGAGAATAGTTTTAAATTAAAAGCCAGGAGTCAGATTAGATGTTAGGCAGGAATTCTTTACCTAGAGGGCAATGAGGCACTGCCACAGCTACCCAGAGAAGCACCTCATTCCTGGAGGTGCTCAAGGCCAGCTTGGATGTGGCACTGGGCTGCTGGGGTGCAGCCCTGCCCACAGCAGTGGGGTTGGGGCTGAGGGGGCTTTAAGGACCCTTCCAACCCAAACCATTCTATGATTCAATGATTCTATGAAATAAAACCCAAACCATATAAACTAAACATGCACAATGAAAAAAATGAGTTCCTTGTGATGTTGTAGAACAGTTGGCTTTGTGCTTCCTCTCCTCTTCCCTACTCTCCCTCTCTCTTTATTTTCCCTGTTTTTAAATTGGCGGTCAGGTGGGAGTTTGAGGCTGTGATACCACTTGCAATTCCTAACCAGGACCAAATCCACTTCTTGACTTTTTGGGGTCTTCTTTTCACGCATAAAATAAAGGCTTTCTTTCTCTAAATTCAAATGAAAACAAAACATGGGCAGATGTCATAGTAGGAAGTATTATGCAATAAGGACAGATATGCACAGTTCCGAGCACCCACTGCAATCATCCAGGTTTGCATGGCTGGGAGCTAACTGGGAATGTGCAAGAAAACTTTCACATATGAAGAAATGCCCATTTTGCTGCAACTGTAGGACCAAATCACAGGCAGCACAGCCCACTGTAACACAGGCAATTTTTCCCAGAGCAGGGCATTTTGATCTTCTAGGAGCAGTCTTAAATATAATTTGAAAACAATGTTCTGATAAACTGTAATTATCACTTCAAATTTTTAGACTTGAATAATGTATTTTGGATTCTGCAATATGGCTGGAACAAAAACTTTCAACCTTCTGTGGGCTTTGTTTGCTTGTTTGTTTTACATTTTACAAAATCCAATTTGTTTTCTTCTACTAAATTGTATTATGCATAAAAATCTGAGAATAGCTTTTTATCCACTAGGAAAAAAGGCAGATAAAAAAATTTATGAAAAATAAATTCAGGAAAATAACAATTTTTTTTTATCCATAATAGCCGATGAATAAACTTAGTTTATGAAATGATACTGGTTATGAAGCAGTTGACTCTACCTATGATCGGACTCATTCAGATCAACTAAAAAAACACTGCTCTCTCTCTGCCTCAGGACTACACAAACATGACTATACAAAACAATCAAAACATAATAATAATAATATCATGAAAAACGAGGGTAAA